ACAACAACAAAAGTAATGTGCAAAAGATTTCAGCACGCGCACAAGAAAGTATCGCTAAATAGATAAATAAATTGTTAAAATTACAAGTTCTTAAAATTTCAGAAAGTTATAATCAAGAAAGTTCAATTTTAAGTGTTTATTTATCTATTTATCTATACTTTTTTGTGGGGGTGTCTGCAGTTTTGGGTGCTGAAATCTTTTGCACATTACTTTTGTTGTTGTGTGTGTTTGAACTACAGAAACACTCCTGGTTTAAAAGGATGAATACAAATCTTCAGAAACATAAATGTCCTTTTACATCTGATCTGTACAATATTCACAAATTTTAAACATCAAGTTTCAAACAGCCTTAAACGTTTGTTAAACTGGAGTTTTTAGGGCATTTCTCTCTGCGGTTAGATATCCATGAAGGATGAAAACATTTCCCTAAATTAAAAAAAGACCTCAATATTCTCTCAATAAAACCTGAGAGATGATAAACCATCTGGAGATGCTGCCTGTGCTCCTCTGGATGCTCTTGGTGTAATCATGATGCATTTTGGTGAAAATAATTGTAAATTAAAAAACAAACTACATGAGGGTATCAGGTGAAAGAGGTGTTAATAAAAAACAGCTTCTTCAAATGAGTCGACTTAAATGGGATCTGAACCTCCTGCAGAGTTTCATTCAAACTAAACCTGAGTCAGCTGCTTGTGACGGAATGATCCAAATGTCAAGACCTGACAGAGTTTGAGTCTAAAACAGGATCCAGCAGCTGCGTCTGTGCGTTTGGATCAGTTTTTACCACGAGAAGGAGTCAAACGTGACTGAATTCACTGACAGAAAGGGATTTATTGAGATTGTTTGAACCACCTCAATGATGTCCAGTCATCTTTTCTTTCTATTTTTGTTTTTAAGAAATCTATTTATTTACATTTTACATAAATCTGTTTTTATTTTCAGCTTCTAGTTTTCATATATCACATGCGAGACGAAGGATTACATTATTTTAATGAGCTCAGGCTAAAATAAAAAGACGGTTTCATTGTTTTTATTTCTTTAGATGGTATTCATTAAACAGAACGGAAACTTGTGCAGCTCGTGAGCCACGTCCAGTTTTACCTGCCTGTTCTGGGATGAGACATGGGTGGTGGTGGTGGTGGTGGTGGTGGTGGGGGGGGACGGAGTGTTTCCCTCAAACGTGACTTTCTTGGTTTTGGGTTGTGCTTGTTGAAGCAAAGAGTTCCCGCTCGCCCGACCTCTTCACTCTCTGTCGGGTCCATCATTCTCCCTCTGTCTCCTCCCGCTTCGTCTTCCTCCTCCTAATAATACACAAAGTTTAAAAACATTAAAACTCTTGAACACACCCAGAGGAAGTTTCTGGTCAAAAACAAACAACTGAGGTATTAAAAAGCATAACAATGTTTTTAATTCACTTTTTCTTTTCTAAGACAAATTTTGCTTGTGCTGCGGGATTATCGTGAAACATGCACATAATTTTATAATAGCACATAAACAACAGGGTGAAAATATTTGTTTAGATAAACTGACAAGTTCTGCAGAACCTGAAGCTTTCCTTCTCACAGGAGAGCTGTCGGACGTTACAGAAGCTTCTCGTGAAAAGCTTTTTATTATAAATTCTTTAAAAATCATCAGCATTCATTTCACACAGCAAGATGTGCTGATAAACAACACCCCCCCCCCACACACACACACACACACACATTAACAAAAATAGCTTCAAGTTGAAGTAAACATTAAAAAAGTCAATTTTACTGCAGATAATCGAACCCGCCTTTATGTGAACATGTCAAAGTTGTGTGTGTTGTACAAACTTTCAAAGCTCTTAAAGAAATGACAGCATTTTACAAATACTTCATCTGCAAGTAAAATTTGAATTCACTGTTTTACTTTACAGTTTGAACCAAAAATTACATGTTTAACATAAAAAAACCTGAGTTTTCTT